TTTTTTTTTTTTCTCTTTTTTTTTGGACAGTGCCAGCATTTTCAGAGCCACTTCTCATCCCCAGCATCACCACCCAACAGCCTGGCCCCTCCATTTGGCACCCGGGCAGGCGGGATGCCCTTTGGGCGTACCTGCATCCTGGGGCAGCAATAGGTGCTTTCCCCAACCTCTTCAGCACCTTTCTCCCCCCCCCAATAACTGTGCTCACAGAGGGGATGACTGTCGGGGTTCCCACTGGGAAGCGCCTTCCCAGTTCAGGATAAGGCCCTTGCACCCCACACCCTTGCCCAGAGCCAAGGAAAAAACAACTGTACATCTCTGAATGCCACTGTTCCACCACCTCCAACCTGCCCGGCTCCCACCCCCCCCCGGCCCCGGCCAAGCCAGAAAAGTATGTTTAACTCTAATTACATTCAGAAACCTGCCCTAAGTTTTGCCAGGCTGCTTCACACAGCTTTTTCTGGGCAACTTGTTGAGGAATTTCTGCAGCACTTCCCTGAATACCACTGGGATTTCTGCATGGCAAAAGGCTTCTTCCTCGTGCTGCTCGGCCACCCAAAACCCTCTCCCAGCTAACATGGGCTTAAGACCTAAATCAATCCCTCTCCTCAACAGGCAATAAAATGTTTATTACCGAACAGCGAATGCTCACGATGACGTGATCCGAGAGCCTGGAGAGCTCACGTTAAACCAAAATGCTGCTTTTCTCAGCCCATGCTCCCCAACCCCAGCACTGATCTGACCTGAGCTCAGGATTCATGGTCATGCTCAGCTTCTGTAAAACACAACGGTTTGGGTTTGCTGCCATCATGGTGTTCCCAAGGACATAAACCAGAGAGAAAACCTGTGAGCTATCCCAGCAACCTGGGTGCTCTCTGAGAGCACTGACGCAGCGACCATGAAGAGCAACGTGAGTCTGGATGTCCCAGAAGAGGTTTTGCTAAAATACTTTAATAAAAGGTATTTACTCCCTTCCTTCCTTTTTGCAGATAGACAGCAAGGACCAGGCTGAGCCCCACAGAGCTGAGGCCATCCCTAAGGGGTCTGTGGGGCAGAGGGACCCCCAGGGACCCCACTCACCACCCAGGACACCTGCACTCAGCATACCAGCACCCTCCCCACACTCATCCTGCTGACCAAGGGCTTCTCAGCACACAGGAACGGCACCAACTTTAATTAGAGTAAACCACACCATCCTAGGCTTAATTAAAACATAATTAAATTAGAATTTTTAATAAAGCCCATGTTGGGGCAGGGATTCCCAGCTTTGTTTGCACAGGTACCCCTGGAGCATCAGCACACAGCTCCTGTGATGGGGTGCAGAGACCTTCCCCCAACCAGCACAGCCCCACACTTGTTTCCCCCCTCCAGGGACAGAAATGGGGCAGTGACATCCCATGCAAAACCCACCCAAGGCTGGTCCATCAGCACCATAAGCTCTGCAAGCACTTAGACGGACCCTCAGACAGGCTCCAGCACACCCAGTTTTGTACTGAGGGGAACAGGTGCACAACGCCCCCGTGGGCTGGATGCTGCAGACTTGGTTCAAAACCCTCGATCCTGTACTTGGTTAATGTGGAGCCACTGGCCGCTAGGGTCAGGGTGGTGGTGGCAGAGCTGGGTCCCAGCATCATCCCAGGACCACGCCGGAACAGCAGCCTCCCAGCAGTTCTCGTGCCACACCTCTTCCTCAGCAGCTCAATCACTCCCAGCTACTTGCAAGATAATGACGCTATTTCACATTTTCATTAGCTCCCTAATACTTTCCCCTAAATTACCCCAGTTAATTATTGATAACTCCTGTCTCCCGCCAGATCTGGCTTAAACTGACAAAGAGCAGACCATGCTTTTGTTATGCTCCACTTTAGCGCAAGCATTGGAAATTTTAATTAAATTTACAGTTAATTCTTACTGACCTTAGGAGAACACCTCGGCAATGCTGAGCATCACCTACAGGTAGGAGACACTACAGTGAGGGGGCACCCCATCAGCCTTGGAGGGAATTTGTATTTTAAGAGAAGACTGTGTACCCAGACGGACAAATAAAACCCTTTTTTATCTTTCAATTAAGCTCATGAATTAGATAGAAAAACAACTGGCATTCGAGAGGCATCAGAAATGGGATTTCCTATAGTAGAAATACTGCTTGGAGAGCGGGAAAAGCAGTGCCCTGCTCCTGGGTGCACCTTGGAGGTGCACTGGGACAAAACCTTCATCCCAGAAACCCAGCACTGGTGTGACAGTGCTGTCCCACATTGGGC